GATTTCACAACTGCCATTCACTTGGCCCACAACGAGCTGAGAGTCGCTGAAAACTTGAATGCTTTGTACCTTCAGCTCGGACGCCAGCTTCAGTCCGTAAATGAGGGCTTCATATTCTGCAGCGTTATTAGTCGTCTGAAACTTAACCTCAGTGCGTGCTCAGACTTAAAGCCATCTAGGCCTACTAACACGGCCCCTGCACCCGATCCTTCAATGTTAGCAGCTCCATCAACATACAAAACCCAGACTGGGTGCTCGGGTGCTTTTTCTTCCTTAGTTGCTGAGATGCACTCCACCAGAAAGTCTGCAACGGCCTGGCCTTTTATGGTTGTGCGTGGTTGAAATTTGAGGTCATATTCACTCAGCTCGACGCTCCACCCAATAAGCCGACCAGAGAGTTCAGGTTTCTGCAATATTTTTCTCAATGGCAAATCGGTATAGACAACAATCTGATGTGATTGGAAATAAGCCCTCAACTTACGAGCTGTGTAAACCAGGGCAAAGGCAGCCTTTTCTGCTAATGGGTAGTTTTGCTCTGCACCTTGTAAAACTTTGCTCACGTAACAAATAGGCTTCTGATTCTTATTGTCTTCCCTGAGCAAGACTGAGCTCACTGCCTCCTTCGTAACCCCCATGTATAGATATAAACTCTCCCCTTCCATAGGCTTGGACAGCAGGGGTGCGGATGCCAGATACTGCTTGAGCTCATCAAACGCCCGCTGACACTCGTCAGTCCATTGAAAATGCTTGGGCTCTCTCAAGGCTTTGAAAAATGGTAGGCACCTTTCCGCCGACCTGGCTATGAATCTGTGCAACGCGGCTACACGACCTGTCAGGCGCTGCACGTCCTTTACAGTCCTGGGAGGCTCCATCTGCTGCACGGCCAGAACCTTCTCTGGGTTCACTTCAATTCCTTTCTTAGATACCACGTACCTTAGGAATTTTCCTAATTCTACAGCAAACGTGCACTTCAGGGGATTCAGCTTCATTTGGGCTCGGCGCAAGTTTTGAAAGGTCTCACTCAGGTCGTCTATATGATCCTCAGCTCGTGCACTGGTGACTATCATGTCATCCACATATACTTCTATGTTCCTGCCGATCTGCAGCTTGAAGATGATTTGCACCAGCTTCTGATATGTAGCGCCAGCATTTTTCAAGCCAAACGGCATCATGACATAGCAGTAGATCGCATCACCAGCATAGAAAGCTATTTTCTCCTGATCATCTAGCAGTAACTGAACCTGGTGATACCCTGAGCTAGCGTCAAGGAAACTCATCCGCTCATGCCCGGCTGCCTGCTCTACTAGCTTTTCAACATTTGGCAAGGGGTGAGGGTCTTTTGGACACGCCTCGTTTAGGTTGGTGAAGTCAATACACATCCTCCACTTGCCATTCGGTTTTTTGACGAGCACAGGGTTGGACACCCACTCAGAGTATTCCACTCTCCTGATGAAGCTTGCCTGTAGTAGCTTTTGTATTTCTTCATCTATAGCAGCCTGCTTCTCAAGGCCAAAAAGGCGACGCTTCTGTACCACCGGCCTTTTGGTGGGGTCCGTGCTGAGTTTGTGGACTGTCAACTCTGCCGGGATGCCAAGCATTTCATCTGTAGTTCATGCAAACACATCTTGATTGACTCTCAAAAACTCCAGAAGCTCTGCTCGTTCTTTTTTTGTGAGCTTGGTGCCGATCTTGACTGTTCTTTCCGGCATATCAGAGTTTAAAAGAACGGTTTTTACTGGCTCTACCGGCTCTACTTTCTGCTCGACACCCTCAGGTCTATGCTCAATGTCCGATATGCTCACTATCTGTTGGCCGGGCTGAGTCGGCCTTCTACTTTCAGAGGAGTCTCCTAGGGCTACAGCGAACTCAACCTTCTTAAATGTATCTTGATAACATGCCCTTGCCATCTTCTGATTCCCCTTTAGCACTCCTACCCCCTGAGGCATTGGGAATTTCATGCAGAGATAGGGTTGTGAGATAACAGCCTTCAGCTCGCACAGAGTGGCCCTTCCTAATATGGCGTTGAAGGCTGACTCCATTTTGACGACCAGGAAGCTGACTAAAGCCATCCTGAAGCGTGGTTCTGAACCCACATAAATGGGAAGTGTAATTACTCCCTCCACTAGGACGGGTTGATTATTAAACCCATAGATAGGCCTTTCATATTTTTGTAACGAGCTGGGGTTCAGCTGCATCTTTTGGAAGCAGCTCCAATACAGGATATCGGGCGAGCTACCAGTATCAATGAAAACCTTATTGACGTTATGATTGCCTATATGGACTGTTGCTACAAAAGAATCTGCATGAGGCATCACGACGTCGAGCTCTCCTTCTACTCGTTGGTAATCTGCCGGGCTAAACGTAATGGTCGTATTCTCCCACTCCGCTTCTTCAAATGGGCGCTTAAGAGGCCGGTTCTTATTTACTGTCATCACTTGTCGAGCGTATGCCTTGCGGCCTCGGGCGCTCTGACCTCCCGCATGCATACCGCCGGAGATCATGTTAATTGTGCCGGCTGGCGGGGGTATTCCACCATACCCAACCCCTCTGTGGTCCTTTTGGTTCTGTGCAGGTGCTTTCTGTCCTTGTCCACGCCTATTGAACGGGCGTCCCCTGTATGCTCAGTTCGGCTCAAATGAGTATGGACCTGCCTGGTAAGAATTTGGATTGCTACTGAGCTGATATCCAGGTGCTTGAGATCGACCGTACTCTTGTACAAAGTGGGTCTGGGTGGGTTGCCGAACAAAAGGCTTCTGCACATACCCTTCCAATTTCCCATTGCGAGCCAAGAATTCGAGCTCGTCCTTCAGACTCTGACAGTCTTCTGTGTTATGGCCGTAGACACGGTGATAGTCGCAGTATTTGCTTCTGTCAGCTCGTGAAGAATCATGCGTTTGTGGAGGGGGTCTCTTGACCTAGTGTTGTATTTGCGCCAATATCTGGGATCGTGACGAGCTCAGGGGGATGTAGCTGTCATATTTTGGATAGGAAGGCGGTTTTCCTCTCTGCTCGCCAACCTTCTGTTTCTTCTTGTCATCTCTTTCAGGCTACTTGGGCTCTTTTCCCTGCTTGTCATCAGCTCGTCTCTTAGAAGATTGAAATCTTCGGACAATATGAAGCTTGCCGACCTGTCATTTACTTCATTCCATGACTTGGGTGGATTCTCCAGCAGGTCGTCCAAAAACCGGCCAGGCTTCAGGCCATGCAACAAGGCAGATAAGCAAATGGTATCGGGGACGTTATCAATGTCCAAAGTAGCTTTGTTGAATCATTGCATGTAGTCCCTCAAAGACTTTCCCTCTTTCTGATGAACCTGCATTAGTTCGGTCGCTATACGTTTAATCTCCCTTTGGCTCGCAAATTTGTTGGAGAATAGCTTGGCGAGCTGGGAATATGAGTCTATGGAATGTCTGGGGAGTTTGTGATACCATCTCCTAGCTGTTGACTTGAGTGTTGCTGGGAACACTTTGCACATCATGGCATCATTGGCATTCTGGATTCTCATGATGGCTTGATAAGTGTGCAGATGTTCATCAGGGTCGCCCGAGCCATCATATGTCTTCAGGTGGGGAATTTTGAATCCCTCTTGATACGGCTCTGCTGTAATGGATAGGTTTAAAGGAGCACTATCCAAATCAAGAGTCTGTTGGTGCGACCTGAGACTTTTCAACTCGTCGATAGATTTCTGTACGTCCCTTAGCTGCCTTTCCAGGTTTGCATTTTTCCTCATCAGTTCTTCACTATGTTTGGACGAGCTGGGCTCGTTATTTAGCTTCCCGCTTCCCCTCGGCCTGGTCGGCACCACTATGTTGCTCAGAGTAGGGGAGTTTCGAGTTGCAACAAACGCAGCTGGCTGTGCGTCCCTGTTAAACAATGGAATCAGGGGGTCGTCAGGAATCAGGCGATCGTCAGGAATCAGGCGGACAAGGATTTTACCCATTGCCATTTCGAGAATTCTGGTTCTCTCTTCGAGCTCGGTTGTCCGAGCAGGTTCTGTTGACCTTTCAGGTCGTTCATGCTGTGAATTGTACGGTCTAGAAGGTCTTTGTCTTGTTCCTATTGGAACTTGGAAAGGTTCGAGCTGAGTTGCATACCCAGTTGGTGTTCTTTCATCATCATCTGTTTCACTTAGGTGATCCTGTTCTGCTCCCCTGACGAAAAGGTTTCTTGGCATTGGCCTAAAGTCATTCAAGCCGGGCTCAGATACTTGAGCGTCCTCCTGTTCGTCCATTTCATTTCTTGGAGGGCGACCTCCTGTAAAGGTACAAACCATATTGTCTTTCAGCAAGTTAAGCCACGCAACTCCTTGTTTGAGTTCCCACAGACGGCGCCAAATGTTTGGGCAGCTTCGCAATCCAACAGTGTCGAAGTCCTCAGCTGCTTCTACACCTGTAAATCCCGAGGTTGTTTCCTCGGGGAAAACACTCCGACACTCAAGTCAGCAATACTCAATATTCTAGAGAGAGAGGCTCTCAAGGAGTAATTGCAAAGAGAGAAGCGTAGAGATTAATTACCTCTATTGTTGGTAGTTGGGGGCTATTTATAGCCCCAAATGCTGACATGCATCCCTACATGTAAGTAACTCATTGGCCCACGTGGTACTGCTCACGTGGGTATGTCTCCTCCTCTTGGGCCTGTGTGTGCATAGTTGGGCCTGTTATATGTGGCCCGAAGTGGGCGTTGGGCCTAATCCCAACAGCTTTTAATTAGTTTTATAAGCTAACAATGATTTTTTTTTTTTTATTTACTACAACAGTCATCCATTACTTGGTCAAGCAGAAAACCTCATCAATTTTCTGTCTGGACACAAATATGATGGAAAATATCTGCATGAGCTTCTTAGGGAAAAACTGGGAAACACAAAACTGCATCAGATATTGACTAATGTTGTTATTCCTGTGTTTGACATCAAAACAAATCAACCAATCTTCTTTTCCACCTACGAGGTTACATTATAATCCCCTCTTTAATTTTAAGCTTTAAACTTGCTACATTAATTTAATTAATTTCAAGCTAAATATTGAAATTGAAACCCTGAAATTAATGATTTTGGACATCGTATGTATGTGGAGCAGGTGAAGAGAAATCCATCTTTAGATGCGTTACTGTCGGATATCTGTATTGGAACCTCAACAGCACCGACTTATCTTCCACCCCATTATTTCACTACCAAAAATACTACTGCTAGCAGTAGTACTGAAGAAGATATCAGAGAATTCAACCTAATAGATGGTAGTGTTGCAGCCAATAACGCAGTAAGTATATTTATTAATTTATATATTAATGTGACTTAATTAAAAAGATTAATTGATAAAAAATTATTGGTATACCCTTTAATTCAAGACATCTATCAACATCCGTTAATTCAGTTATTAAAATTTACATATAAGGTTTTCTCATGATTTTTTAATGAATGTTTTGTGACATATATTAAATAAGAAAATATAGCAATTATTGTCCTTAATTAATATATGTGACTTAATTTTGCATTGTATTATTGATTTGGCCTTGCTAGCTAATTTTACTTAATTTGATTTGCTCGTATAGACTTTACTGGCTATGGAGGAAGCAAAGAAGGAGATGACAGGGGTCGGAGAAGGCTCCCGGCCGTGTCATTACATGATCAGATTTTTGGTTATATCTTTAGGAACTGGCTCAAACAGATCAACCGAAGACAAACACAGCGCAAAAGAGGCGGCCAAATGGAATTTGTTTGGTTGGCTACGTCGTATAGTTGAAGTATTCACTCAAGCCAGTGCCGATATGGTCGACTACCACATCTCCGTCGTACTCAAAATGCTACAATCTGAAGACAATTACCTTCGCATTCAGGTACCCTAGACGTAGACTTAATTTATTAATTTAATTTGTTTCTATAGCATGCATCATGTCAATAACCAATCATATAATTAATACAAATATGTGTGCGTGGGTGTTTGTTTACAGGATGATACATTAAGTGGGGTGTTGGGTTCAATTGATATAGCAACAAAGAAGAATTTGGATGATCTTGTGGAAGTAGGGGAAAAACTTTTGAAAAAGCCAGTTTCTAAGGTTAATTTGGAAACGGGTTTGGTTGAGCCTTGTGGTCAAGAATCTAATGAAGACGCTCTCAAGAGGTTACAAATCTTAATTACCCCTAATTAATTTCTTTAATTCATACAATATATATAATTCTTCTCGTACTTATGCCTGAAAATTTTTTACGTTACAGTTTTGCTAAAATACTATCCGATGAGAAGCGACGCCGCAATCAACTCATCCCTTCCGCAGACCGCAGTCTAAATAATGTTATATAAAGAATTAACCAAATTCTTTGTGATGATTATACCCATGTTTTTGTTTTTTTACCTCAATTTGATTACTGATTACTATATGTTTACTATAAGAAATAAATAAAATTTGATTATGATAATTATACCCATGTTCTCGCTTCTATGGAGAAAGGAAAGCGAACTTCGTCTATGGACGTCAACGTCAGAGATAAATAGGCAAAAGATACCCATTTGCCCTTTAACTTTTTGAATTTGAGGTATTTTACCCTTCATATTACAATATATGAATTTTTACCCTTCATGTTTCTAAATATATGATTTTTTATTCTTTATGTTTTCGAATTTAGAGAAATAAAGCAAAATTTAACGATAAAAAAGTCACGTGCGACAGTTCCATCGTTAATTTCTGTCATCTATTGACGTGTTCATGCCAATTCATGCCAACTCAGACCTTTTTACATGCTGGCAAGTCCAGCTTGCATCGAGAATTCTACCCCAACCTTTAGTTTTTTTTTTCGTTCCTCACTTTCCTCTTCCCTTCTTCAACCATTTCTTCAACTTCTGCAAATCTCTAACATCTCAACCAATCTATTCACCTCAATCAATTTCTACATTTTGAGTTCTTCATCATCATCAAACAACAAAACCCACAGAAAACCAACAAAAAAAAACAAAACCCAT